TGGAGAGGGATGTCATGCTTGGGAGAGTGGAGGGACAGAGCAGGAGAAGAAGACTCTCTATGAGATGGATTGATTCAGTGATTGGGGTAATGGGGATGGGTGTGTCAGAGACAATGAGGTTGGCACGGGATAAAGCAGAGTTTAGGGCTGTTGTACATAGGGTCGCTATGAGCCACGGGCCACTCGATGACACATAATGACAACAGCAACCTATTTCAGAGTAGAAATTTAGGAGCTGTGTTTTTTCCTTGCTTGGAATTTCTGTGGGTCACTATCATTTCCCTATTTGTAGCCTTTGTACCCACCAACTCCAGCTGTGAATACAAAACCAATTACCTGGCCCACAGTCTGGCAGTCATAGCTTGAGGATGGGTTATTAACTCCTTTCCCAGTATATGTGGCACAGTCTTGAAGAAAAAAAACAATTTCCTTTTGAATTCATGACACCAAACAAATGCAAGCTTGGGGCCTCCATCAACCTTATCTACTATCGCGTGGCAAAAGTTTACCTTTATTTGAAGTGAGTGAATCCAAAGCAGTGCTGAGAGATAGAGAAAGTAAAACTGAGCACTGATAAAATTTAACTCTGGCTCTGTCCGCACCTAAAAGCATATTACAACTGAAATTTCAGATATTGGAAATCATAGCTTCCACTTCCTGCTTAAACTAAATCCATTTAGCTTTCTGTCTCCTGCAACAACAGCAAAAACCTCTGACTAACCTTTAAGGCAAGTGAATGGGACAAAACCTTAAGGTTGATAACACCTAATAATGTATGTATGGAGTACCAAAGTTTCAAGCAAAGTGCATAGGTAAGAAGGTTTGAAGGACTAGGGCCTTGATTTGCAAGCCAACTCCTTTTAAGAGGGCTCTCTTCTGGAGATCGCACTGGACTTACTAACAAGGGGAGAGAGAGTAGTTCCTAAGAACAGGTTCTGCCTAGTTAGAAGGCGGCCTTCCACAGAAGAGAGGCAAGGACATACATACCAGGACATACTGACATCTGTTCTACTTAGTAGACACCTCATCGAACATCACCTGGTAGCCCCATAATACTTTGCATTGTGTCCTTAGGCAACTTTTCAGATAAATTTGCATGACATTTCCATGCCAATGCAAAGCTACTAGAGGAAAAACTAATTTGTTGTGCTTTTTCAAATTTTTAGAGTAGCACAGTTCCAGATATGAAGTTGATCCTCATTTACACCCTTCATCTGCCATTTAATTCAGGCGCAAGCCCAAACTCACCGACTTTTGCTAAGCTACAAAGCTACAAAGCTCATATGGTTTAGGGCAAGTAAGTTCACAATATTTTACAGAAGAAAGAAAGAATAATCAAATGAAAGTATGAATGCTATTTAATTTTTGCTTAAGGTCATGTTGTAAATAATTCTTTACCAAATTTAAGTTATGGGTTTTAACCCATATTGATAAATTTTCACTTCTTCTGTTTTCTTCTTGCACCTACTAAAAAAAACGTTTTAAGTTTCCAAAGTGATACCAATATCACTCAGATCTCATTGCTGTTGAGTTGGAAGCACGCCATACCGAACCCTCGGATGAGTTGCTAACAATCCCATGAGTGGAAACTGCGCTTGTTTCACCTGAAAACCATGAGAAAGGCTCACAGCCTTTGGGATCACAGCACAGCTCCCAAGGGTCATGACACCAGAGCTCCAAAGTTCACACTTACTGTATTGTTTAAACCTCAAGCAACCCCATCTCACTTCTTATGGTTTCTGTTTTTTATTCCTTAAGAAACTCACAATTTTTCTGTTCTTTGACAACATTGTTCTAAATACTGGGAAGCCAGTGTGTTGAGTCTATGCATCATATCCAAACAATCAAGTCAATTCTCACCCATGGCAACCTCCATTAGGCAACATGGGTTCACACTGTTATTCCAGTTAGCAACTCAACACAGAGCACATTGTGCCACCACGGCTCCTAATAAGGTGTGTGTCTATTGTTTTAAAAAATAGATTATTACCCTTGGAGGCTAGAATTTTGAAGCTCGGTCTCACAAACTTTGGGCACATAGCCAGGAGGGACCAACCGGTCAATGGAGAAGGACATCATACTCGGAAGGATTGGAGTGACAGCCCAGGAGAGAAAGGCCCCAGATTAGATGGATTGATAGAGTGACTGGAGAAATGAGGGCAGGTGTGTCAGAGTCAGTGAGACTGGCTCAGGACAGGGCAGGCTTCAGAGCTATTGTATATAGTGTCACTATAAACAGTCACAGGCAACTCAACAGCACATAACAACAACAACATGCTGAGTAAAATATCTCAGTCACAAAAGGACAAACACTGCACAGGACCACTCTTACAAAAATATGGTGGCCATTAGAGGAAAGCAGGGAAAGAATGAACAAAGCTCTGGTGGCCTAGAGGTAAGAAGATGGCCTGCAATCCCAAAGACATGCAGTTCAAATCACCAGAGATTCCTTGGGAGAAGGATGGGTAAATCTCAGGTGATTAACTGTCTCTGAAAACCCACTGGAGAGTCAGCAGTGTGTTGGTTTTGACTTGAAGGTACATAAGAACAACACCAGAGTGGGAGAACGGAAGGATTACTTAAAGGGAATGGATAATTAGACATTGTCTGCATGCAAATGGCAATCCAGAACAAGATATGTATTGCAAAATGAGTTGGGAGGCAGGAAAAAGGAAAAGTTTATCAACCAATGAATGAAAACACAGACTTTCCTTAAACTTTAAAATCACAACTGAAAGTAAGTATGAAAACAACATGCAGATGTATCATCACTAAGCAATTAAGAGTTAAAACACTGCCCATTTAAAATATAGACAATGTTCATTGTCAAGCGACAATACGGGCTCTTACGTACAAGTCTCAGCTGGGGCTCTCAGAAGTTCTTCTTTTTGTCAGTCATCCCTGGTGAGTTGTGTTCACATGAAGACTGATGAAGACTACTGGAATTTGTTTGACTTGAGAGACATGGGAGAGTAAGGTGTCACTTTAATTTCAAAAGGCTCAATATGGTAGCAATGATAAAGTTAAGTCTTATTAACTACTGGATTCCCCCAGGAAAGCAGAAATCTGAAATAAGAAAGATTACTTTGGACAATAAAAAACATTACAAAGAAACACCCTGCACTAGAGTTGGAGAAATTGCAAGACAAGTGTCCCAACAACATCAGGCCTGGGAATCCAAAATATTTGCTGGATGACAAAGGAATCTGAGTTTCCACTGTAGGATAAAAACACAATGCTCAATTATGGAATCGCGTTTCTCTTTAAGTCAGAGTCACCAACTTATGGGTTTCCACTCATTAATGCATTTGAATATTGGTGAGATATAGTGCCAGAAATCTTTCTGTGTGATGGGAAATCCTTGGAGAAATCTTCTCTATGGGCCCTGAGAATCTGTAAATAAGAGGCAATGATTGTGTCTTCTCTCCAGATTAAAAATCCATTTCCACTGGGCAAAGCAGAACTTGTCTATGTCGTTTACAAAGTATAATCTTCACAGAAGCAGGCTGCCCTAGATATACTCATTAGTCTAGGCCAAGAAATTTGTTAAGACAGCTACTTGACCAACTGACTGAACTAGATCTATATTTGTTCCTATTCCCCCAAAAAAGGTGATCCAACAGAGTGTGGAAATTATCAAATAATGTCATTAAATAATCACCTGGAAGAAAGATCTCACTGAAGATTATTTTAAATTGGCTGCAACAGAGGACTGCTATAAATTCAAGATGGAATCAGAAGAGGTTGTGGTATAAGGGATAATATTGCTGCTGTCAGAAAGATACAGGCTGAGAGCAGAAAATGCTCAAAAAATATTGACTTGTGTTTTATTGACTATGAAAAGACATTTGACTGTGTAGATCACAGCAAATTATGGACAACATCAAGTATGAGAATCTCAGAATCCTTAATTGTCCTCATGCAAACCTTATGCATAGACCAAGAAGCAGTTGCCTGAACAGAACAAGGCAACATCATCTGATTTAAAATCAGGTAAAGTGTATACCAGGGATATATCCTTTCTCCATATGTATTCAGTCTCTATAATGAGCAAGTAGTTAGAAAATTAAGACTTTCATTCTCTACTTCTTTTTTAAAAATATGTGCTACTATATTCTCTAATCCTTTTCCAAGACACAGGCTCTATATGTGCAACACTGGAAAAAAAAAGTGTTAGATAAATATTGACTCTTGTGGAATTTCTCTGTTTAAAACTTATGTGTGCCTGGCTTGTTCCTGGCTGTGTGTCTTTAAAAGAGTAGAGAAAATTGTACCCTATGATATTCTATATAAGGTAAAATGTATTACACTTAGAATTTACCATGGGTTTATAATTTCTGCTTTGGCAAAAAAAGTACAAAAAGATCTCTCTGTTCCATAACAGTCTCCCAATAGTGTCCACAGACCACAGTACAAATGAGATGATTGACTTCCCTGGAATCTTCATCAAAGAACTGTGCCAATTCTGGGGTCCAGACTTCACAGTATTCAAGAATCTGACCTCTTCCTTATAGAAGGCAAATACAACACTGGTTAACACTTGGACATCTATTAGTATTACATTTACTCGATAACAATAGAAAACATTTCCTGGCTAATTTTTAGCTCATTGTGATTGTGGGTGAAAGTAATAAAAATTGCCTGAGAGTTAAACCACAAACCATAAAGTTCATACGAGACAAACGGAAACCAAGCAGAGATGACCTAGTCTATGAAACCAAGAAGAGACTGTCAAACACAGCCAGAAATGTACAATCTGGAGAGAATAAAAATGGATGAGACTTTCTAAAGATTAATACTCTGTGCTCATCTAAAACCTTTTCCAACAGAATGAAAAGAAACCCTACTGACTGGGGGGGGGGGGAAGTCATTCAGCAATATCATCTCAGACAAGGGTCTCATAACAAATGTTTACGGAATATTCCTGGGCCTTCAGAAGAAAACCATTGATAACCTAATTAAAAAATGGGCAAAAGACATGGAAAGACTTTTTTAATATGCATGTGTACATGCACCAGTTACTTTATGTACAATAAAAGAATAGGGAGGGGGAAATGAAAGACGAGAGAAAACTAAGCTGTAGTAGTCAGGATGTGCTGGAACCCACTTGTGGTTTTCTAATTGAGAATGTATTCTTGGTCTGCAGGAACAGAGTTCTGGAGTAAAACAGCAGGCTCCTCTGTGCTTATTTTAGAAGACACCTCCTGTCTGCTGCCGGAACACGTCAATTGTATCTTCATCCTCCATTTCCAACTGTGCAGGTGTATCTGATTCATTGATTGGCTGTCCGTCAAATCGGATTCTGATCTGCCTCATTGACAAACCCTGTCGTTCACAATAAGCTTTCATTAGTTTACTAAGTGGGGTATGCCTCTTAATCTTAAACTGCACCACAGAACCATCCTGCCCCACCACCTTCAAATTAATACGATCGTTGTTCTCAGTCTTGACTCCTTCCTTGGGTTTCTCGTCGGCCATGGCAAGCGCCTGAGCAGCCGCTTCACAAAAGAGGTACCAGGTCCGCACCAAAGAGCGCACAGGCAGCACCAGGAGCGGCAGAAGAAGGAGGTGGCAGCAGTGGAGGAGGTGAAGGGCGCGAGCACGTCGTGCATTCCCTCCCCGCTCCTTCCGTACCCATGGAAAGACTTTTCACAGAGGAAGGCATTCAGATGGCCAACAGACACATGAAGAAATACTCAAAATCATAGGCAGTAATAGAGATGCAAATCAAAACCACAATGGGATACCATCTCACCCCATCAACAGTGGCAAAGTTTAATAGGGCACAAGCAATAAATGTTGGAGAGAATGTAGAAAGGTGGGAACCCTAATAAACTGCTGGTGGGATTGTAAAATGGTGTAACCACTCTTGAAGGTAGTTTGGCATTTCCTCAAAATGTTGAACATAGAAATTCTATATGACTCAGCTATTCCATTACTAAGAATATGCCCCAAGGAAATGAGAGCTGAGGCAGAGCTGTATACACCAATATTCACAGCACCCTTGTTCACCATTGCAAGAACATGGAAACAACCCAAATGTCCAACCACACTGAATGGATTGAGGAATTGTGACTCACAATGGAACAATGTGTGGGATTCAGAGGCAATGATTTCAAACTTGAGATAGAAAGGAGAGCATTATGTTGCGTGAACTAAATCTTAAAAGGATAATCACTGCATAAGATCATCATGGTAAAGAAAGAAAGATAACTAGTAAAACATGTATAGAGACCCAAGAGGGAAAAGAGGGAGAATGGAGGGGTAGGAAAGGATAGTGGCAAAACTACAGGGTTGCACAGTTTGGTGGGGGGAAGAAGAGGGAAACGCAGATAGGAAGGACCCAGCAGGGACCTGAAGGGTAATGATGGGCAAGATACAACGGTGATTAATGTTGTAAAGCATAAGGCACGGCTATGATTGTATGAAACGCAATGTGAATGAAGAATAGTGTGAAACACAATGTACATAAACTTTGTAAGCAAATCAATATAAAATAAAAAAGAGACAAAAAACACCCCCCTGGTTTAAAAATTGGAAATCTTCCCAAAGATGTCTTAGTGAGGGGTCAGAGATAACATATGCTAAGAATGGGATATATTACTTTTTTTATAACTTTTAAACTGTGGTGTCTCAAGAAATGTAAATATAGAAATCCTTGGAAGTAATACATCTCAGTCATTCCCAAAGTGGGTGATCATATATTGCCCTTGAATTGCTGAATCTGAATTTTGGGGGCTTGTTGTTGCTGTTAGGTGTCATCCAATAAATGACAAGGCCTATCAACACAGTGAATGGCAAATCTGCACCTAGGCCTATCCTGCATCATATTCAAGATCTCTGATACGTATAGCCTTTGTGTCAATCCATTGTGTTGAGGGTCTTCCTCTCCTTCTCTGACCCTCCACCATTCCCCCATGATGTCTTTTTCTAAAGATTGGTTCCTCCTATCAACAAGCCCTCAGTACATGAGATGACATTTCACCATCCTTGCCTCTAAAGAGTGTTCTGGATAAACTTCCTCTAAAACAGACTTGTTTATTCTTTTGGCAGTCCATGGGATAATCAGCCCTCTTCTCCATTTTCAGGGGTGGGATTTACAAATTAGTAATCATTTTTAAATCTCTGTCATAAAGTTTTCAGAATCTGTGTTACAAACTCATCTCAGACTAAGAGCAAGAGGAACTCTTCATTCAAAACAGACTCCAAATACTTGTCACTGAAAAATGGCACTTAGTGTCAAGAAAAGTCTCGGAGAGAGCTCACTGCACAGATTCTCAAGATCCCCACTTATAAACATTCTCAAATGCGAGGACTAGGTTGAAGCCTTGTTTTTGTGTGCCATCTAGTTAATTTCAAGCCACACTGACCCTGTATAATTGTTCCATTGGAATTTGTAGGCAGTAAACTCAGTGGAAAAGGGCTCTGGTAGCCTAGTGGTAAGAAGCTGCGCTGCAATCCTGAAGGCACATGGTTTGAATCCACGAGATGCTCTACAGGAGAAGGATGGGCAATCTCCTCTCAGGATTAAATCCCTCTGAAAATCCACCAGAGGGTAAGCTTTGAGTTGGTTCTGACTCAACAGCACACACCACGACCACCACCAACAAGAACAACTACAAACTTCATGAAAGCGGGTCTCCAGGTCTTCCCTTCAGGAGCTAGAAGTGAAGCATTTAAGTATTAGACCACAAGGCCATTAGTTGATTTTGATGGACTTAACTAAAGGTCATAATTAAGGAAACTATTTCTATCAGCTGTTTGAAGATTGTAAATCTTTACAGAAAAGCAATGGCCATCTTCCTCCCAAAGAGTGGCTGGAGTATTCAAAATGTTCACTTTTGGTTAGCAACTTAGTATGTACACACCACACCACCATGATTCCTTTCCTGTTGTTGTGTGCTGTCAAGTCAAAACTGACCCATAGCTGACACTCTTGCAGGTTTTCAGAGGCAATTCTCAAACAAGAAGAGATTACGCATTCTTCCTCCATGGGGAAGGTAGATTTGAACTCTGTGCCTTCAGAATTGCAGCACTATTATAGGGTTATTAAAATAGTATTTGATAATTTTCCTCCAGAATTTTGCTCCCAGAAATTCTCCTCTACAGAATTTAATTCTGCCATTCTAGGTCATACAAAAGTTTTGCCCTTAGGTTGTCTTTCGAGCATTTATAACCCTTCCTAGAATCCTCTTCCAAAGATTGCGGGTCCTTGTATCTATAGTCAACATCCTTGGTACCAGCAGTCAGGAAATCAGGGAACATATTGCTTTGGGCAAGTCAGCTGTCAGGGTCCTCTCCAAATTTCTGTAATGCAATGATGTCAGTCTGAAGACTAAGGTGCACATGATTCAGACCATGGTCTTTTCAGTTACTTGCTATGCATCATACATCTGAAAGCTAGTCAATGAATGAAGGTGACAGAAGAAAAATTGGTATCTTTGAATTGTGGTGTTGAAGACCACTGAATATTCCATGGATTGAAAGGAGGGAAAATACCCACCCAAAAAGAAAAAATAACAACCAGATACATCTTGGAAAGAGTGTAGCCGAAGTGTTCCTTGAAGGCAAGAGTGGAGAGACTTCAGCTGACATAATTTGTCCATATTGCTAGGAGAGGCCATTCCTTAGAAATTTATATCATGCTTAGAAAAGTGGAGGATAGGTAAAATAGAAGAAGGCTCCCAATGAAGTGGATTGACACAGTGACTGCAGCAATGGGCTCAAGTGAATCAAAGATGATGAGAGTGGCACAGGATTCAGATCTGTTGCTCATATGATTGCTGTGAGTCATACTCGGCTCGATAGCCCCCAAAACCAACAACAAATGTTTTCTTGCTAAGGGACAATAGAGACTGAATAACCTAAGTTCACTTCTCCCTTCATTAACGTTGTTTCTTCTGCTTGTAATCAAAACTCGCCTCTCCCTTGGACACAAGTAAACAATTTCTGACTGAAGTGGCTTCTTTCAGTACTAGAGTTCACAGACATAAGATTTTTGCAAAGCACTTGCCCTATCTCTGAAACCAGTAGGATCTCTCTCCACAGGAACACAGCCAAACCTGTCTTCAAACAATTAACGTTTCTCAACCAAAGCCATTTCCTGGGAGAAAGTCAAAGGGAAAACGGCTACTTCTCCATTCCTCCAAGGATCCTGAAGTGAAAAAGCTTTTCAGATGGGTACCCCGGGAAACATCAGAGATGCTTGCTTTGCCAGGCGCCATATTGTTCTGGCCTCTTGCCTCCGTGTCCCGCTTAGCTGGCAGGTCCACCTGCTTCCTGTCTTAGCTAAGAAGCTCTCTTTATTCCTTGGCTATTCCCCTTTTGATCACTCCCCATCTTTTTTTTTTTTTTTTTGGTGTTTACTTAGAACATACTCTTTCTGTCCATGAAAGGGATGAGAGAAGACATACTTTGTGGAGATCACAGAGTGGGGCAGAGGACATCTTTAAAGTTGAAAGTCACCCAAGGGCATGTGCTAAATGCACTTAAGGGTGGAAGAAACTTTAGTACTTAATAGTTTAAGGAGTTCGAAGGAACTTGTGAGCACTGGCTCATAATCAAGACAGAACAAAGGACTAAAGGAAAGGAGGGATTCTGAAGAAACAGAGAGAAAGACTCAGAATTGGATGAGGACTGGGAGCCACACTTGATATGGTTGTACAAATGGGGAGATACTTTCAGAAAAGCAGCTTGTTCTTCCACAATATAGCTGCCTCTTTAGTTGTCTTCCACGAGGAAGTGCGATAATGTGGTGATTCAGGTATACATCTTGAGGTCAGGTGGCCGTGGAACCACCCTTGCATCCTTGTTCTGTTCTATTTTTTTGTGGTTTTTTTGTTTGTTTGGTTGGTTTTTTTACTGGCTATTTATCAAATCAATAGAGTTCTTGCTAAAATTGGGGGTAATAATACTCCTCTAATATCCTCACCACTAGGCTAATAAGTAACATCATGAGAGAAGGGGAAATATGGACATTGTCAATAGTTTCATGGTGCCTGAGTCCACAATCAACACCGTTGGTATCAAAAGTCAGGAACTCAGAGGACATAAGATATTTGGAAAAATCGTCTGTCAAATCTTCAAAGTACTAAAGAACAAAGATGCCATTTCAGACTAAGTGATACATATTAGTCATTTCGATTACTTGCTACTTATCTGAAAGTTGAACAGTGACTAAGGATGTCAAGAAAAGCCAGTGCCTTTGAGTTGTGTGGTATTGGAGAAGAGTGCTGATATCCATTCTCTGGACAAAAGAACAAACAAGTCTTTCTTGGTAAAATAGTGACCAGAGTTCTCCTTAGATGTAAAGATGATGATGCTTCCTCTCACATACTTTGGGTATGTTGTTAGGAGGGGCCAGTCCTTGGAGAAGGACGGTGTGCTTGGAAAAGTGGAAGGTCAATGGAGAAGAGAAAGACCCTCCACAAGATAGATTGCTATGGTAACTGTAGCAATGTGTTCAAGTATATCACAGATGGTGAGGATGACACAAGATAGGGCTAAGTTCAGATCTGTTGCTCACAGAGTTGCTATGAAACGCAAAGAACTCAGTGGCAATTACTTGCTATGCATCAGAGAGCTGGACAATG